TCTCGCATGAGCGCCAAGATCTTGTGGGCCATAAGGAAGTAGAGGGCAAACACAGGAGGCTCCTGGGTAAAGCCTGCAGTTCAGAAAGGATGGCTCCCAACTGCATTGCCTTGTGAAAGAACACCTCTATAAAGGTAGCGGTGACAAATTATGAGACGTTTACATGTATCTAAGGAATATTTAAGAGAGAATTTGAACAGAAATCCTTAAATATGGGTTAGGTTGTCCACTGGAATCACACTTTGTAGCCTTTGTAGAGTATTGTTGCTGTTTCAAAGTTTAAAACATTAAAGTTTTTCACTTTCCTGACACTGATCAGCCCTAGTCCATTTCATTTCCAACAGATCTTACAAACACTGTTTGCTCCCAGTGCTCCTCTCTGAAACAACAAAATGACAAAATGACAGAAACAACAAAAATGTAAGCCTTTCTAATAACTCAAAGGGAAGCTTTTCTCAGACCTTCTTTAGGTGACTTGGTTACACTGCAGGCTTGTAAGAGGAGTTAATTGCAACACGTTACCACGAGTAAATCATGATTTTGGCATATGAGTGTCCTTTGCTAACCCAGGTGAGCTGAGGACAGATTTAATAGCATGTCATAAGAGAGTATCCGGATACTGATTTTAGACACACATCGCTTATTTGCACTTGAGCAGTAAAAATAATCCACATAAATCATTACATGTCAGAACACATACTCATCTCTTATCTGCACTTTGGATAGGATTGGGCAGGATACAATACATAATATCCTACGTACACAACATTTTATGTAAATACTGAACGTAAGAGAAATTGAGAAGAATAGCTAATCATCATGAGAACAAAGCCCTGCTGATGATGGGTAGACCAGAAGTGGGTTAACAAAGCACATATTTAATGTCTGGGAAATACGATAGTGTGAAGAACACCACATTTTGGCTAGAACACCACACCATAAACCATGAGGAACATGAGAGCATGAATGCTCTCTTTTGCCCCTTGGTGCTTCACAGTCAGATGGAGTGGGTATGTTTGAGGATGGGTGTGAAAGAGAATAAATGCTTCACTCAGCCTTGCCGTATATGCCATTTGTAAATATTCAATTCTCTCTCACCAGCTCTCTCTTCATGGTGATGTACATCCATATCCACATCTTAGCTTTTAGGTCTGACTGTCCTGTCCTCTTTATATGTATTGGGAAAAAGAAACAGCAATGTCCTCTATCTTTCTTTGTCCCTGTCTTACTCTCTCTCTTGCCCAAGGAGTAAAGACCAGTTTTGACCCCACAGTGCACTTGGAAATCTTAGGGGGACCTGAGGTCTGTCAGCAAAGCCATCACGCCTTGTGACCCCAGTCAGTCAGAGAATCCACCCTATGCTATCCTGACACAGCACTTATCCCTGTCCTCCTTGCTTCTATCCCTCTCTCCATCTCTCTTACTTAGTGATAGATGAGTTAGGACAGTGTGAAGACGTGCATTTATCCTTACAGAAAATGTGCATTAGGCCAAGAGCTGTCTGTTACATGCCTGAACAGATTTTTTCCTAAGTCAGTGTGTCTGTGTGTGTGTGTGTGGGTGTGTGTGGTATAATTGGATTCAGTTTAAAGCTCAGTTCAATGCCACAGTATATCTATAATTAATGATCTGATCATAATAATATACAGTAACCATATGACTCACCTCAATGGTGATGAGAAAACATGTAGACCCCCCACTTCCCCCACAGATTCTCAATGCCAAGCTAAATTATACTTCTTACTTCAGGACTAGGATGTAACAGCAACACAGGAACACACATAGCAGGGTATGGCTGAAGAAAAGAGAATGTGTATAATGTATATATATATACTGTAGGTGTATGTGCAAACTTTATTGCAACACTGCAATAGATAACTTAAAATCAGTTGACAATAAACCATGCTTAATTGATAAAACATCCATGAATTCCAAATGATACCAGTTGGCTGGATGTATGATCCAGTGTGGAATCAGCACTTCTTGAGAGATGTTGACGTTTCCTTTTTTCAAATTTCAACCATATGATGTGTGAGCAATAAACAAGGTGATGATTCAAATTCATGTGCTTTTGGTAAATGGTTCCTCAGTGCACAGTCATCACAATCCCTCAGTAAGGGCCATGCGTAACAGATCAACCTTTTTTGGAAAAAACACTGGCAAACATTACAATGCATTCTTAAAGGCCACATCTGTACTTCTTAATGTACCCTTCATTTGAACTTTGGCCATTCAGGAACTAAGGGCCGTATGGAGAGTTGGCAAGAAGATTTCCAAAAGTTATGGAAATATATACATGGGGAAAGTTACTCCTATTTATACTATGGTTACCCATTTTTTTCATTAGCAACCTGGACAACCACCTTTAAACATAAGCACTTGCCTTTAAGCCTGAAAAAATTGGCAAAAAGAAAACATGGAGTGAAGGAGCAAATTACTGGAGCAAGCATCGATCTGCTACTCTTTAAGTAAGTGTTATTAATTTTATCCATGAAATATTCTTCTTCATGGCAAAACATCTTCATGGTAAGTATAATTGGATGGTGTCTCCTCTTATTAAAAAAAAAAGTGAAACTGAGACATGCCTCTGTTTTGGGCAAATTCCACTTTGTATACGCCACTCTCATGTAATCTCTTCTAATACCCATATTGATATATTACCTAATATTAAATAAAAATCTGAATGTAAGCCTGGGATTTAACTTTCTGAAATAAAAGTTGTTTTTCTTTTAATGTATGCAAGTCTGGTCACTGCAACCTTTTTACCCCTATATATATATATATATATATATATATATATATATATATATATATATATATATACATTCAGCCAAATGCTACAAAACTGATAGGACGCCTCTTCACAGTGCAGGTGCAGGTTTTCAGCAAAGTACCTCCATTTTCAGGGGCTCAAAGATATTTGGACAAAGTGACATAATTGTAAATATAACCATAATTTTAATACTTGGATGAAAATCCTTTGCAGTCAATGCCTGCCTGAAGTCTGGAGCCCATGTTCTCAAAACTCAAATTCTGAGTTTCCTCCCTGGAGATGCTTTGCCAGGCTTCACTGCAGCCACCTTCAGCTGCTGCTTGTTTGTGGGTCTTTCTGCCTTCAGTCTTGTCTTCAGTAAGTGAAAAACATGCTCTATTGGGTTGAGATCAGTCGACTGACTTGGCCATTGAAGAATATTCCATTTCTTTGCCTTCAGAAAGTCTTGAGTTGCTTTCGCAGTATGTTTAGGGTCATTATCCACCTGCACTGTGAAGCGGCGTCCTATCAGTTTTGTAGCATTTGGCTGAATGTGAGCAGAGAGTATAGCCCTATACACCTCAGAATTCATCTTGCTACTTCTGTCAGCAGTCACATCATCAATAAACACCAGTGAGCCCGTTCCATTGGCAGCCATA